TATATCACGAAATATCTTCGATGGACCATCACCATTTTGGTACTTAGAAAGTACGAGTTTTTGTATATCTTTACTTTTCATTATCTAACAATAAATTAAAAATGCATTAAACAAAACTAAGTACATGATTTTGTAGAGAATTAAACAGTGAATCATTTAAAAAAAAAATTAACTGTCTAGTATGAAAAATAAAAAAGTTATAGAGAAAATACAAAGTATGCCATTCATTATGCGCCACCCGTTAAGCTTTCAAAATGCGCACAACCGTTGACAAACCAATCGGCCCAGGATGAAGACCATCGATAGAGTCTGACAATGTGTAACTCAACTTGACTACACCACAACCACAAACGTTAGCCAGCAAACTATTGTATGCCGGAATCCTCTCGAGCGTATGATCATCATCTGGCGGAAATTTATGGTTACCGCGAAAACGTCTCGGCCCAATTTCACAAAATAAAATATCAATCATTGTGTTTGCACCACGTAATGCGATAACAATCTCTTGGACAATGGTTATCATAGCCATTGCCGATCGTTCAAGTAAATCTTTGGTGCCGAGACAGATAATAATTCGGCCAAATCTTGCAACATCAATTGCCTTCTCCAGCAGCATTCTCTTCAGACCAGACAACTTGCATCCGCCCACAGCGTCGATCTTTAGGCGTCGGGACGACTTGCAACTAAACAGATCTCTGGCGCGCGCCACAATCGAATCACCTACCAGGAGAGCTGCAGGTGCGCCGCTGGGGGCGATCGGTTGGATGGTTGACCTTCTCATTCAGCACTAATCGCCCGATTTTGCTTGGCAGTTTTCGCGATAATCGTCGCCCTCTTCGTCCCCGTGCACGATGTTTGCTGCCTAATTTTTTTGGATTCGTCAGTTTTAAACACGTTAATGGTTGAATTAAATTGTCACTCATGATCTCGATTATTTAGATTTAGAGCTAAGATTCAATATTTTTACTCATCAACCAAAATTTCATCCGCGCGAATTGTGTCTTAGTTATAAAATTTCTTATCTATCCTATTTCTTAGAATAACCAAAATTTCAAATTATTTTATCTATCATAAGGTTTAGACTGATCAAAGTTAATCTTAACTTCATTGTTCAAAATATAAAAAGATTCGAGGACGAATCTCACCGGGTAGGGATGTATTTGTAGCGGCCGTTCAACCACTTCTTACTATTTTTTGTCTTCTATGCATTCTTAATTTAGTTAAAAATAAACTAGTCATAAGTTGCATAGGAACTCGAATTTAAAAGACACATTATCTTCGTGCCTTTTTAGAATATACAAAAGTATATAGTTTAGTTTAGAACTTTTCTTTTGGTGTTAAGTTCTATCTATTTTAAATTCTAAATTCGTTGCTGGAGTCTTGTGTTCTTTTCTGTTGTCCAAACGTTGTCAACCAGTCTCCGCCAATTCACGTCACCACAAGCAATTCTCTACCAATATTATTTTCTCATCGTCAACATCAATACTATTTACAAACAACGAACCATTGACTCATATTTCTACTTACCGCATTGTTCAACAAACGATTTGTTTTCTTTTTTTATATAATAACAGTAATAATTCATAATCATATGTTGTTGTCAGGATAAAGAACTGGGCTGCTTTGTAGTGAAAGTTGAATTCGGGGCATAACTGAGCGCACTACAGGGGGGTTTACTTCGTAGGATGTTCGCAATTTCCCGGCTAGCATCACAAAAGACTTGATTATTGGTTGTGATCGAAATGTTAATGAAAAGAATTTGTCTTGATAGCGAAAAAAACCTTTTGTTATTCATATTTCTTTATCCGAACACCAAGCGGCAACGTTGCACGCGAAGCTTTCATCTAACTTGAGCCTCAATTTCACCAATTGTGCTCATCTCGTTTCATCAAACAAAACTGGAAAGATCATATTCATTCACCTGCAAGTATCGACCTTTAGGTTGATTCTAGCTTAACGGTCAGTTGTTCTTTGTCACGTTAGCACAAAACCAGTGTTCAACTCGAATAAAAGCAAGGCACTGATTATCCTTTCGATGACGACTGATTTGGTCACAGCATAACTTATCCTATTCGCTTCGTCCTCTTCATCTCGTCCCGTGTGCAATTCGTCTCGTGAATTCTGTCCCTTCTTTATTCGTCCAAAACTCATTGCGTTACGAGCTCACTTCGTCCACTAGCATTTCGTCCGAAATTCATTTGATCACATACACGATATCCGTCTATAGTATGGCCTAGTCCATCTGAATCGTTGGTTCAACAGCAGTAAAGGAAAGTAAGTGAGGGTGTTGCCAGATTGTGGTGTGGGTGTGGAGAGAGAATACATCCACACCCACACTCTCGGTACCAGATTGGAAGGTTTTGTTGCTCAGCATTGTTAGTGACTAACAATATCAAATCTATCAGTGGCTACCTAGCGTGCGAAGCTATTAATGTGAAACTAAGCTAATAAATTCTTCTTCTCTTTTTACAAATACAGTATACCGTTCGTAAGAAACGTATTCCACCATTTGGTTTCTTATGCAGTATTACAGGCGACCAGGGAGAATTTGATGGACGAATTTGATTATTAGTCATCATGTCTTGTATTACTTTTTGTAATTCTCGGCGTTGATCTACCGTTTTGGGATATGGACGTGAACTAATGGGTAGGGCGTCTCCGGTATTAATGGTATGTTGTAGTGAAGTGTGAGCTTGGGTGATTTTGGATGAGTCGAAGATTTTTGCATGTGAGGATAGTATTTTCTGTAAGTTTTTCTTTCTAGCGGATCACAAATGTGTGCAACTAGTTTTGCAAAAGTGTCTGATGTTGATCTGGATGTGGTAGTAGTTCGAGCAGAATTTAAAGTTGAACTATCTTGTGGTGATGGCGAAATTGGTGATGGTATCGAAAAACTTTCTACGTCGCCAGGCGTATGAGTTATTTGTCCGATTACTGCGTTTTTGTGTAATGTTCGTGTTCGATCACTGTTGTTGTAAATTTTGATGAACGTAGTATAATCTGTAACTTTTACCATTACAGGAACCATTGAAACTGATTTACATTGTGGAAAGTCTGTGTCTGGATGAAAATATACTAAATTTGCAGAAGAAACATCTGTTTTCGCCTGAATGATACTTGCTTCGCGTGGAGGAATCGTGATCGAGCTAAGTAATTTTAATCTAACGCAAGAGTATCAATGTGTCTGTCGAAAGGGATACATGATCAACCGTTATACGAACGAATAGAAACTTGATGACGATCGTATTCAATTCTAGCGCATTTTTCAACGAACCAGTTAGATCCAAGGATAAAATCAGAGTTTAAATGTTTGACTACTAATGCAGTGATGGGAGTGTCGGTTTTAAGTGCACGAATATGCAAATTAACCTCACCTATTATATGTAAAGGCGTAGAACTATCGGCTAAATGCGCGACGGTTTTTGATGGAAGTAACGGTGAATGACGAATTTTACTAAGTGCCGATTAAGTTATAAAAGAGTGTGCGGCACCTGAGTCGATGAGTGCACGTGTTTGTCGATTATTTACGTAAACGTTGATATATACGAGCGACGGATTAGTTCCGCAACATTTTCGTGGTCGTTTCGGACAATGTCTGATGGAATGATCGCTATTGCCGCAATGATAACAGTGTAAGGTTTTCGTAGTACCACGATTTCCTTGTTGAAAAGGAGCTGGTGATAATATGGAATTGATTCGTGTAAATGTAGGGTACTGCTGAGGAGAATTTGATGCTGATGTCTAAGAGATTGTGATGGTTCGGGCGCTGATGGAAAATTATCTCGCAATGCATTTTGTAAATCATTCCATGTTTCAAATTTAATCAATTGACGAGTATACCACTTCAATGCCTCGTCAGAAAGAAATGCCACAGCCCATTTACGGCGTTGTGGCTCAGTCAATTCACATGCATCGAATTTTTGATTAATTATTAATAGCCAATCATTGACATGCTGCTGTTGCATATTAGATATGGGACCCCAGCCCGCGCGCAGGTATCGAAAATCTGAATCGACAGTGCGATTCAGAATATTTTTCTCTTCATATACTGAATAAATCAGCTCCAGTTTTTCTAATTTATTTTATAGAGCGCTCGTGTCTACGTACGTTTATTTTATCCGTTTCGTACGCTGACCAATAGAAATCCAAGATGGCTGCCATGCCTAAAATTCTACGTAGAACGCTTGCTTTTCTCAAAAATAGTGGAAAAACACGCAATTTCTTGCATAATTATTGAAAAAAAGTCCTACTTATAATTATTCCGCCAAATGCGACAGAAATAGACTTGAGCGCGAATCAGAAGCGTTCGTTTGGCGCCAAATCGCTCAAATTAATTATCTAACTTCTCATTTAGTACTTTCGATGCATCCTTTTTATTCCTGTGTGCGTACTGAATGAGTGAAACAATTCTCTTTTTTTGGCATTATGTTGCTAAAGAAAAAAAATTCCCTTTTACAAGGTATGTCTAGCTTTGGTTGACGCTAGAAAAACACTGAAGAGCTTTAAAAAATAATAACTCCCTAGGCCATGGAAAAAATTGAAAACAAAGAGTGACGTGGACAAAGAATGAATCTGTGACTACTGGTTTTATGCGTAAATGCCTTTAACTAGTAGACCATACACGTCATTGCTGAAAGCATTCTCTTTTTATTTATACTTATATAAAATATCTTTTACAAATTTTATAATTCGAAATAATTTACTCTTTGACTTGAGATAGATCTCCCCGAACCTTATTAATAAATTATACCGCCTTATATAAAATTTTATGCTTAACCCAAATTTCACCCAAATGTCACCGAGAATATACACTTTTCGAGCTATTCTCATTTTACTCAGCTTTTCGAAAAATTTTAAAATTTGATTTTTGAATATAAACTAAGAACTTTCAATTGCATTGGACAGCTCACAGAAAAATGCACGAGATAAATTATGCCTTCGTACACTTCTTAACCGCCACAAAAGCTGATTTTTGACCAGAAAAAAATTGTAAGGCACCAAAATTCTCAGTCACGTGAGAGCAAGCAGCTTCAGACACAAAAATATTTCAAAACCTAAGAATTAAGATTCAAGAAAATAACAATTTTTTTACTATTTTCATTGACTGTTGCTAAGTGGAGTCGATTACACCATGTTTTACTCGGATTTTTCTTAGAGAGCATGATGTCATTGGTCTAGCCATAAAGAATCTGTAATTACAATAGGCATCTAGCAAAATTGGAGATGTCTCTTCTCGCATATGCACGACGTACATCTTCAAGATATCTATCAACGATAGATACTCTCTTTTTCTCGTTTGCCGTGTGAAGAAAGAGGAAAAGTCAGTGCAGCGTTGTTTTCATTCACCATTTTATTCTTTCAGCACTTTTTTAGACTTTTTTTTTCTGTCTCGTTCTTTTACGTCACATATATCGCAATGTTTGCACACGCATATCTTGTGCTAGAAGACATATCTCCAATTTTGCTAGATGCCTAATAAAATTTAGTACAGTAAAAAGCTAGAAAACAAGAAAACCCTACTGAAACTTTTCTATCTCTCTTGACGATCTGAGCTTCGAAGAAAAACTATTGTTTTTGATTTCTAGAAGTCATGCTTCGAGTTGCAAAGTTATCAACTGA